CAGATTCATCTGGATGTGGACAAGCTAGGGGTGATTCCCTCAGCTTCAGCCACTGCCTGTGGCTTCCATGGTAAGGGAGATTTTGGGTTGAGGTCAAGGGACTTTCAAATCAAAGATTGTCTCCTGAGAGCAATATTCAAGGCAGAAGGCGATGGCCAAGGCCAAAGTCAAGAGGAGGAGGAAGGATGGAGGTGGGAGGGAAGAGAACAAGGAGAGGTGAAACCTTGGACTCAGGACAACAGGCTAGTGCCCCATCGTGACCTTGGAGAGTCAGCAGTGTGGCCACTGGAGTTGGGGCCTGGCCCAGCCCCTCACTGCTACCTCATCATCTTCTGTTCTAGACGTAGCTACAATCGTGGTGAGGGAGGAGGTTAAGATGGAGCTCTGGGAATTACTGACTGGACTCTAGCCCACAGCCTGCTGGGGTACAGGGCCCAGGTCATACTTGGTCCCACTCAAACAGGCCACCATACCCCACAGCATCTCCTGGGGTGCAGAGCTTGGCTGAGAGTCAGGCCCTGCACATATAACATCAGTAGCTTCAAGGACCAAGACAGGGAACTCCCAGAGGCCTCAGGTTTTGGACAAAGTGCGGGAGTCCCTCCCCTGAGGTTTATGTTTGGTAGGCGGAGATGACCGTAAGGCTGGGCCCAGCATCTTCTTTCTTCTACACGGGCTGACACTGCTGGAGGCTATGGACACCTCTGCATGCAGGGCTTCCTGCCTGGCTCCAGGGCCCCAGTTTCCATGATGCCTTTGCTGTTTTCACAGAAGGTCCCCAGTGTTTGATGCCTGCCTGCCTGGCTGGCTGGCTAGGGAGGGAAATAGGGAGATGGGGACTGAGGACCTGACTGGGACACAAACTTCTCATTTCTTTCCTGGAGGGAAAGCTGCAGAGTGGGTGATGTCATGCTGGCTGAGGCCCTGGGCCTCCTGTTAACCCCATTATTAGCCACAGGGTCGCCTGGGCTGTTAGGGGGAGTCTGGCTAGGCCCTGCCGACCACAGCCAATGTGGTTAGACGCAGCTACACTTATGGGTCTATGGCGACTGCCCAGATGCCCTGTGCATTACGGGTGGGGGAAACCCTGGCACACAGTTTATACCTTCAACCTCTGCTCTCTGATGACCTGTTTACATGCCTGCCTTCCATCTCTGCCTACTCAGCTAAGTTCTCCACTCCAGGAGTGGCAGAGGGCAGGGCATCAGGCAGATAGCCTCGAACATGCCTGGCCCAAGGCCTTTGTCCCTCCTTGGCCCTTCACGGGAATTCCCTTCCCCAGGCTCCTCATGGCTTCAGCCCTACTGTCCCCAGGCAGCCTCTGCTCTCCACCTTTGCCCTCCGTCTGTCTCCAGCTTCATTACCTTCTCATAATGCCTGCATGACACCTAAGCTTCATTTGATTAGGTTGCTGTGGAGACCTCCATCACCTGCGCGTGAATGTGTATATATGGAATTTGTAGTTTCCCTTCTGATCTTTGTTCTGTCCCATGTCACTGGAATTACATGAAAGCAGGGTCCTGTCTTCATTCTTACTGTCTCTCCAGGGCCTAGAACAAAGCCTGGCACACAGCAGGTGTCAAGTGGACCTATGCCTGAAGGAAGGAGGAAGGGAGGAGACAGGGAAGAGAACTGGAAGGAAAGGTGGGAACGGAAGAGTGGAGACACAGATCCCTGAAAGCATGGTCTCTCAGTGCTGTCACACTGAGGGACAGGAGTTAGACTCCCTGGCCGGGAGTTGGAGAGAGGGGACATGTTTGGTAATAAAGATGGTGACCTGCCAAGATGGCCAGCATCTTCCTTACCATCCTGACCTGAGACAAATTCTGGCAGCTTGAAACAAAGGCCCTGTGGGCTTCTCTCCCACCAGCTGGCCACCTGCTGATGGACTGGCCCAACAAGTTCAATATATGTTTACATAACAGTTATGGGCCAACTGGCAACCCTGTCTGGCCAATCCAAGCTTAGAGGAGGAAGACTCTTCAGAGACTTAAACCCCCAGCCCTGGAGAAGAGACTGGATTTTCTGGCTTCCAGCCCCTCTCTGCTTGAAGCTCTTTTTCTCTGGGTGTTTGCTGTGTGTGTGTGTTTCCACGGTCTCAGTAAACGCTTTCCCTCAACTGCTGATGCTGTCTGCTCCTGTTTTCAGTTTGAGATCTTCCCTGCCTTCTAGTTCTTTAACTGGCAGAGGAACCGGACCTGATCAAGAGCCTACTTGATGGTAACAAACACCACTTCCTGCCCAAGGCTGGTTCCCACAGCCCCTAGCCAGTCCAGTTCCTTCAGGGCCTAGCAGGGGAAGACCTCAGCCTGACTGGCTCACCTCACCTCTTCTCCACATTTGGTTCTGTAACTACAGTATGTTGTTTGTCTAAGTCTTATTTTCTCAGAATGGACCAGCCTTGGAACCAACCATGGACAGGCAACAACTCAGTTTTTGATGTCCCTTGTCCCTTCCCCTTAGTGTTCCTGAGGTCTCAGGTGGTTGTCTTTACTGCTCTGGAAGCATGGGGGCCAGTGTCTTGCCTGGCTGCTACTCTTGCCACTACAGTGGTTGTTCCAATAGATGCTCCGATCCTTCCTGGGTCTCTGTTCTCTTGGTCACCTCCAGTGGCCATGCACCTGGAAGATAAGCTTTTCTTCCAGAGTGATTCATGGTTCTATTTTCAACTTGATCACAATAACCATTACATACGTACACAATCCCAAAGGACCCAAGGATGCTGCTGCCCGAGTCTGAGGGCGGTGGAGTCAGGGCTGCCTGCTGCTGCTGCTGCTCCTCGGCTGAGAGCTGGCCAGGGGACATTGCAGGGCAGGGCTCAGTTTTCAGAGCTGATACAAATTTGTTTGGCTCACGCATGTGGATTCTTGTATTGCTCTTCACATTTCTCTGGACTCTAAGGACTCCAGAAACACTTGGGGGCTGTGCCTACACCGGGCTTCCATGGTGAAATGAACAAAAAATTAAAACCTTACCTTTAAAGTGAAAACAAGCCGGGCAGTGATGGTACACACCTTTAATTCCAGCACTTGGGAGGCAGAGGCAGGCAGGTCTCTGAGTTCAAGGCCAGCCAGGTTTACAGAGCGAGTTCCAGGACTGCCAGGGTTACACAGATAAAAACCAATACCTACCACAGACACACACACAGGGGACCTGCCTACATTTGAGAAACACTTAGAAAATATTCAAGAGCTCTTGCCCGTGGGTTCTGTCTGTCCCCTCGCCCCTTCCCCCTTTTCTTCCCCCTCTCTCCAGGTGGTCATGGCTAGCCTCCTTCTCTCTTTTCTCTCTCCTCTCTCTTTCCCCCACCATTTCCTCCCATTCCTCTCCTCACCTTTGTCCCGAATAAACCCCTTCCCCCCGTGAAAAAAAAATATTCAAGCTAAATTTTTAAAATAGAAATTTAACTGGGACTCCTGATAACCTGGTAACCCTGGGGAGAAAGACTGTGCCAGGTGGCAGTGGGTCTTAGGCCTGGCATCCTGGTTATGAGAACAAGATTCCTTCTGTTCAGTGCCTTTTCTGCTCCTTAAGGCCTTTGCTCAGAGGCCCCTCCCTGCATACTGTGTGTGTGTGTGTGTGTGTGTGTGTGTGGGGAGGGGGTCGTCATAACTCTAGTCTTTCCCATACTGTCACATTGGTGGTCAGGAAATGCACTCTGAAGCAGTAGGCTTGGAGACCTGAAGGAATGAGTTAGGGGATGATCCAGCAAAGGATCCTCCCAACAGGAGCCTCCCCAGGTCTTGGAAGGCCCTGGAAAACCAGCACTGTAGCCAGGGAGCCCAGCACTTAAACAAGATTCCATCCTACCAAACTGGTCTCTCCTTTTCCTCCCAGAAGCCCAAATACACCCACCAAACAAGCTCCATGTTTAGTTTACAAGCATGTGTTTATTGCCTGCTGTTAGCACACCAAGGAGGCTGCTGCTTACCTTAAAACGTCCATTAGCTTCTGCCACATGAGAAGTTACCTTAACGTAATTCCAGCTCTTGGTTCTATCTCAACTGTACACTAGACAGCACACTCACCCTCTAAGAAGGCACCCCCTCCCCAATTCTGGCTTCTATCTGTGAGAAGCTCCCAGCATGCTGAGGGGCTCCAAAGGACTGTCTTCATGGGGGAGGGCGGTGGCACAGCCATGCTTTGCCTCACAAGGTAAAATGCCCCATTTCTCATGGTGAGTCTGGTTAGGCATCCAACAGGAAAGAACCTTTTGTTCCCAGCTTGTAGGAAGTCTGAGCTGGTCTCTTATCTACTGGTAGCATTTCCTGGATAGCGGGCCAGCATCCACTAAGCTCCCAGCCTTGGTCTTGGCAACAGGTTTAAGTACAGACCTTGGCACACCAGGTCTAGGCCTTGAATGAGAAGTTGGAAGGATCGAATCTATCTCTTCGATTGGTGTCTCTCCTCTGTCTCACTCCTTTTTCTCCTCTCTCTTCTCTCCCTCCCCCTCTCCCCTCTCTGTGTGTATCCTGGAGTGGAAAAAAAAGGGAGGCAAATTGTATCAACAACAACGTCTATGTGGTCTATGTGGCGGGTGTGCAGATGCGGGAAGGGCAGGGTTATTCCCAGCCTTCCAGTAAAGTGTAAAGTGCCATCTCCGCCCACGAGGGCTGGGAGAGGTGACCCCGGGTTCCCAGAGCTGAGCTTGGGCCAAGGCCGGGCCTGACACCTAGCGGCCTCCTGGGTTCGGGCGTGGAGAGAGTAGAGAGCGAAAGGCTACAGACCGGGAACCCGGGCGCCGAACCCGCGCCGCTAACCTCCGCACGCCGGTCCCGAAGCTGCCAGGGCTCGGGTCGGGAGTGCGGGGCGGTGTAGCGGCGGTGCCCTCCCGAGTGCCGGCGCCTGGCGGTACTTCCGGCGCAGGTGACGGTCGCCTCCTCGAGCGCGCGACCGCCGCCCCGCCGCCGCCGCCCCGTCACCATGGCGACGCCGTCGCGCCGAGGCCAGTGGAACCTGCCGAGCGGCCGGGGCGCGGCGCGGCGTGGCTCGGGGACGCGCGCAGGCCTGGCGGCGGCGGGACGAGGTAGGCGGCGGGACGGCGAGTTCCGCGCGGAGGGGCGGCGGGGACTGCGGCCAGGCGAGGCCGGGCTTCGAGCCGCCCTCCCGCGCGCACCTGCCCGCAGCGACCCGGGCGCTGTCGCGCCTGTCCCCTGACGCGGGGGTTCCTGCTGCTGGCACCGGGCAAGGCGGCCGGGGGAGCGCGGGCGGCGTCTGCCCGAGTTAGAATGGGGACTGCTGGTGAGCCGAGTTCAAGTCTAGGGGCCTGCGGCTGTACTGTAGAACAAAGAGGGTGGGTGTGGACCAATCTGCATTCGCCACGACTGAGCCCCCACTGTCCCCGCGGCTGGTCCCTGCGCTCAGGTGCGGGCCTGCTGCATCCTCTCTCTTCTCCCGCATCCCACCGTCCTCGGGCCGGATAACTAGTTCCCAGACTGTCAGAAAGCCTGGCTTCGGGCTTTGGCTTTGGAAGTGACGCAGGTGCGGAACTTCTCGGAGGGAGGGATCTGCTGCTGCCTTTGACTCCTCCGAGTGGTAACCAGGCCACCTCCTCTTTCCGGTTACTTCTCTCACCCTTACCACCTTTCCTCCCGCGCTGCATCACAAGTCACAAACCCTTTTGGGTTGCCTGTCCTCTTTTCTGTCTTGGCAATTTTCTTTAAGAAAAGTTCCATCTCCGGCACCCGGATTCTGTCCTGTTCTTAGCAAAACAAAAAGCAAAGTGTTCTCACCTCCCTTAAATACCTTGATTGCTCGTCAGCACTTGGATCTGGGAGGAAAATACTGGACTGCCCCAACCCCGCCCCTTGTAGGAGGAGCTCCTGGAACCAGAAGTAGAGTTGCCCACAGATGCCCTGCCCTGCCACTGTCCCTGGGTGGGCAGAGCCCAGGCTTCTTGAACTCACAGACGTCTGGATGCTGGGCTTAAAGGCCATGCCAGGCCTCGCGCTCCATTTTCTAATCAACTCACAATTAATTAGAGTACAAGTGGGAATATAAAATTTCAGACATTAAAACTACCACCTAGGTCACGTGTGTTGACAAGAGGGCGCGATCCTAGAATGTGGACGGCTGGTGCAGGCAGACTGAAGGTTTAAAGCCAGCCGAACTACAGAGGGAGATCCTGATTTAGCCTTCCACTCCACCCCCAGACCCCCGACCCCCACACCAATAAGAACTAAGGGCAGACTGTTTGACAGTTTTCCTTGCTCTAGAAGTTTCTATTCTTTAGGGGGATTGGGTTGGTGGTGAGCAGGAGGGGTTTGTGCTGTGGCCCCATCCTCATGTATCTGTTGACGCCACTATGACGTTAAGGAGATATCATATTTGTTCAACTGCTGTTTGCGTGAGCCCTAGCCAGGCAGCAGGCACTATACTGAGCACTTGTGCGTATTTTTTCCATTTAGCTTGTCCAAAGTCCAATAAGGTAGGTCTCAAGGTCCCTCCCCCCACACCTCCACAGTTGAGGAGGCCAGCACGGAGAATGGAAAAGGCCTCCCTGATTGTACACAGTAGTAAACACTGGAACACACTTTGGATTACATCTTTGTGGCCTAGGCTGCCCTGTAACCCTCAGATGCCTTAGGTGTTTGGCATTCATGGGGCCCTTCCTCCATATAAATAATGATATTTTCAAACTACCCTGGAGTAAAGACAACATACAGACTGGATTTAAAAAGATAAACCATTTCAACCCTTAAAGTTCAGCTTTCCCCTTCTGCAGTGAAACAAGCTCTTTTATTTTTAACTATTGGCAAGCTCTGGTACAGAGACCACACCTGATGCTGACTCTACTTTCTTCCTGGTGCACCCTGGGTGCCTGTGCAATGGCCCAGCTTCTTTTTGCCTTTTGTCTCATCTCATGGTAGGACCTTACACATCAAAGAAAGCTCTAGTCCCTGCCCCCACAGTCTTTTCTAACTCAATTAAAGCCTGCTGCTCATGGGAGGGCTGTGGCCAAGCCACGTTTGCTGCTGTCCAGCTTCCCTGTGCTCCACTCTGTGCATCTGGTACCAGTAATGAAGTTAGGCCTGGTTGCCTTTTAATAAAACACAATGGGCTTGGAGAGGGAGCGTGATGTTCAGCACAGGTTGAGCCCTGAGGGTAGCTATGTCCCTGTGTGATTACATTAAGTGGGAGCCAGTCTGCAGGTGGCGTGTGGAGATTGGGGTGTATCTACTTAACTGTCACAGCCCAGAGATCTGTCACCCCACCCTGAACTCTCAGAAAGGAAGGAGAGTAGCCATGTAAGGGGCCACATGAGCACCAGTTCCTTGCAAGACTCTGAACTGTGATGCATCAAAAGGCTGAGGCAGAGAGATGTCAAGTTAGAAGCCAGCTTGGGTTACAATGAGACTATGTTTTGAGAGAAAGGAGAAGGAGGGAAAAGGAGAGAAGACACAGATCTGTGGGAGTAGAGGAAACCTAGGGTCAGGAGTGGCCATTTCCAGCCTGGGGAGTGATCACCCACTGTTGTGCTCTGGAAACACAGAGGCAAGAGCAGCCTGTGGTGAGAGCATAGCCAGGGACCGTGATGCAAACACACATGCTTACAAGGGAACAATCCACAGCCCCTTTAAAGCTCGCAGATACAGGCTTGCCACAGACCGAGCAGCTCTGTCCAGAGCCTTGGGGACATCCATTTTTATTAAAGGATTCGTGAATATTTGTAAGGCACAAGACAACTCAATAATTTTTGTTTTTGATACAGGGTCTCTTTATGTAGCCCAGGCTGGCCTGGAACTTGGAATCCTCCTGCTGTAGCCCCTGAGTGCTGGGATTGCCTGGCACCGCTTTATCTTTTCTGTAACTCCAGCTTTTGCATATTTAGAATGCAGTGAGTATGAGCTTCCGTGCAGCCAAGCTCTGCCTGCCCAGAGTGAGTGGCCCTGCTTGTGAGCGCCCTTACGCCTCTTGCATCACCTTGTAGCCTTACCTTCAAAGGACTTCCTGAGGCCAGTCCAGCTCACGTTGTCCCCAGGCTGCCTCCTCGTTCCCAGGCTTTCTGGGTATCCTCCCTGAGAGTAAATGGAAATGAGACTGCTGCCCACTCCCTCCCCTGGAGCCCTTTTCTCCTCCAGAGCTGCAGGCAGCACCTGTGCCTGGCGCTAGGGCAGGACTGAGGGCGAGCAACTGAGCTAGATCCCCAGCCCTCTATGGCCCTTCTTGTAACATCTGCTACTATTAATACTTGTCTGAAAGCCGCTGCTGGCAGGGCCCACATCTTTTCTGTGGGGTTCTAGCATCTAACGTTGCCAGCTATAAGGAGCAGCAGCCAGGGACGCAGCTATTTGCTTGAGGGTGCCTTTGGACATGGCGTTTTGTTATTGTCTCTGAGCCCTAACTTCCCTATCTCTCACATTGGGTAACACTCTTGTGCTCACAGTATTGTTGAAGGTTAAACAGAGAGGGTACAAAGTGCTTGGTTCAGAGTGTGGGGCTCACTGGCTGCATACAAACTCTGTCTCACTCTGGAGTGGGTGCAGGCACCACTTAGGCATTTGCTACACAGGGAATTCCAGAAGGAATTTTCAGTGGGATGGTAAAGCCACCCCACTCATTCCCTTGTGAAGAGAACTTCTCTAGGGTTTCTGCCCATTTTGAGAGGCTGAGACAGAAAAAGCAGGCCGTGGCAGGTCAAGTGCCTGACCCCACATCCTGGATCTGCCCTTTGTATCCTATGCGGTATGAAGAAGCTGCGGGCGGGTCATCTGCTCCTGCTGTTCTTCCTGATGGGGAGCTAATCAGATTCTGCTTCAGGCTCTCAATAGATGAATCTAATAAGGGAGTGGCCTGGAGAGGAGGAGGCAGGACAGAAGACTACAGGGGGACAGCATTCTCTCTCTGTTGGATACCCGAGGAGTCTCAGAGAAGGGTGAAGTGACCTTCTTGCCTTTAAGGAGCAGGACAGGACACTTCTGTAGGGAGCATCGTGGGATTAATCTAGAGCAGAACCCAAGAGGGTAAGGAAGTTTTGGGGGAGCCTTGGGGACAGAGGAGGGCTGGAGCTATACTTGGGGACAAAGTAATGAGCAAGGTACCATTGCTCTGGAGTGAATCTGTGAGGCAGTGTAGGGAGCAGGAAGTGGAGGAGGAAGACCGGCAATACCAGGAGGACGGCACTAACAGCAGTGTGGTGCTACTGCAGGGGCACTAAAGCCCCCATGTGGACCATAGTGGGAACATAGTGGGGCTGCAGAAAGACAAGTTATGATTGTGTGGTAGCTGGGGTGATAGGATTTACGAAGCTAGGCTTGTCCTGGTATTTCAGGCAGATTGATTAGGGAGAGGCTAGCATGAGCTGGTATGGCTGCAGAGATGGCCGAGAGGAAAGGGATGACAGGGACCTGAGAGCCCCTGCACTGTGTGACCTTCAGTGGACTCCCTGGGCAGGAGGAGGGCAATCTATTATTTGGGATGTTGTGACGGGAGAGGACACTGATCTTGGATGAGACTGAAATGTCAGTGGGGTGGGAATCTGAGGGAGAACGGAACTTGCATGGGATTTTGCAGTCACATTGGGGACAGACAGGGATAGCAGCAAGAATTTCAGAAACAGGAGTTTACTCTTGGCCAGGGCTTTAAAAAGAATTCCCACACAACAGGGGTAACTTGAAAAAAAAATGTCAAGAATTTGAGAAAGAAGTTATCCTGGGTTCACACAAGTCTCTGAATGGTGCATATTCCATGAAAGTTGAGACCCAGCCTCTTGAATATTCAATGTAGGACAGCAGAGCCCGCTGGCAGGAGTTAGCGGCTCAGCTAGAGACAGAGATCTGTAGTGCGGTTGTGTGGGGTTATTGAACCGATGAGGCAGAAGTGTGTTCATCCACGTGCAAAGATGTATGTGCAATGCATTGCATGTGGAGGGGTTAGAAGATGCATGGGGCTATTTCTACCAAAAATGTCTGTGGACGTCTGACAAAACACGTGAGGATGCGGAGGACTTGCTTTGTCTGTTTCCAGAGAGTGTATTATTAACCGCCTTGGTCTTTTTTTCAAATGGAGGGGTTGCTGGCAGAGAATTGGGAGGAGGAGCTGGAGCTGACCAACTGGAGGAGCTGGCAGACCCAGGCCCCAGCACAGCTGGGCCAGCACACGCTCTAGCTAGTGTTGGGGAAGTGGCTGCCACAGCTCCTGTTGGCTGCGGTGTGCATCTTCTGGTACTCACTGCTGCTGGGAAAAGTTGTTGGCTGGGGAGGCAAGTCCTGCCTGTCTAGGGAAGGAACAGTAAGCTGGAGCTCTGATGTCCCAGTGGTGGTGGCATTGGTGGTAGCCTTGTCCAGCCAGGGTAGGACATTTGTGTCAAGTCCCAGCCGTTGCCAGCACTGAGGCAAAGGGAACAGAGGCCAGGGCCAGCCTGTTCCCCCTCCACCTTCTTTTCTTCTGGGAACGCTGTGGGGACAGGAGAACATGCAGGGGGAAAGGCTGAGGGCTGGCCTGAGGTTGTCCTGATGGGCAGGTTTGCATGCACTGGATGTCAAGGGTCTCCTGATAAGGCGGTGTCGCCTTAGATAGCAACATGCCAGCTCCATCTTCCTGCATAGACCATCAGCAGTTCAGTAGGGTGGATGGGGACACAGGTGTTCTGAGTGTGAGGCCACAGTGCTGGGGCCTTCAGTTCTAGAAAACTCACCTGAGGGAGGAGACCACCTCCTCCCATACTTGGTTTGGGAAGGAGTTGGAGAGGAGAGATGGAGGTGGGGTGGGAGCAGTGGGCACTAGTGGGCTGGCTTGTGGTCTGGTACAGTGGGGGGGGGCAGAAAAGAGTTATGTAGAACAAGGGGTCCTCTCTGGGGTGCCCATGCTGACTCTTGGGGTGGCTCCCTTTAGCTCTGTCTTTCTCTCTTGCAGCTGGGGTCTCAGAATGGAACATAGTACTGCGTCTGTCCCGGCTGCCTTGCCATATTATGTGGCCTTCTCCCAGCTGCTGGGCCTCACCGTGGTGGCTGTGACTGGTGTGTGGCTGGGTCTGTACCGAGGTGGCATTGCTTGGGAAAGCTCCCTGCAGTTTAATGTGCACCCGCTCTGCATGGTCATAGGTATGATCTTCCTGCAAGGAGACGGTGAGTCACGTGGGGCCAGCTCCCCTCAGCCACTGTTCTGTGCCTCAGTTTGTAGCTGTCTCTGGGAGAGGCAGTGTGCAGGGATCCTGTCACCCCAGACATTTCTTCCACTTAGACAAATTAATTGATGATTCTAGACAAGACAGATGTGGTTGGAGGGTGATAGCTGCTCTCCAACGGGTTGCACTGGTACCTGCCTCTGGTTTCAGCAGGTGGCATCTCAGGGGCTACAGCTGCCTTCTAGAGCATGGTCAGCCTGGGTTATGAGTTATCTTCAGGGGCAGCTGGAAGTTGGAAAAAGAAGTAGACATCGATGCATGTGTGTATTGTTTCATGTGGACACGGCTGAGCTATAGTGTCTGTCTCTGGGGTGAGAGCCAGCAGGTGCTTGGCCTGAGCGTGGCCTGTGGGGGCTGGATGGTGGTGGTGGGGCTACTGACAGCCACCTCTCAGCAGCAGGTCCTAGGAGGCAGCCATGGGCAGTGGGACTTAGGCAGGATCATGTTAAGCCTTGAAAGCTGGGAATCAGCCTGTCAAGAGCAGTGATTGCCTATCTAGGAAGATTCCAGAACTGCACTCTGCTAATGGGTATGCTGAGTCCGACCATCACCTCAGTTTGACCACATGATGAGTCGTGAATACTGAGTCAGTGACTTATATCCCAGGCCTAGCAGTTGCTCAGAGTGGGTACTCGGCAGAGCCCTGCCTTTGCTGCCTCTGATGGTGGCAAAAGTGTGGTGTGGCCTCTTCTCCTGGCCCCTTGATGTGCATGGGGTAGAAGGACTCAGGGGGACCTTGACCAGGATGGGTGCAAAGTCCCTATGGAGTCCTGATTCCTCCGGTTTCTGTGACTGGCAAACCTCACGACAAGCTCTTAGCACAGTCTGCTGTCCAGCACAGGCCTATACCCTTACTTCCATCTTTCTCTTACTTCCCATTAGCTCTGCTGGTGTACCGTGTCTTCAGAAAAGAAGCTAAACGCACGACTAAGATCTTGCATGGGCTGCTGCATGTCTTTGCCTTCATCATCGCCCTGGTGGGTAAGTTCCTGAGCGCGGCCTTTCCTTCTCTACCTGCAACTTCAGGCTCCAGCAGCAGCCGCTGGACACATACTGTCCCTGCTCCAAGCTGCTTGGCTTTGCCCCTGCTCTTCTCCTCACAGGCATCGCAGGCAGGGACACTGGGTGCTGGCCATCATCTGGCTGGACCAAAGCCCAGAAATTCTGGCTAGTGTTTTCCCCCAGGTCTCCCCTTCCCTCCCTTTTCCATGACTAGCCCTGTCCTCACATGGCCCCTGCCTCTGCTCCAGGCTTGGTTGCTGTGTTCGACTACCATAAGAAGAAGGGCTATGCCGACCTGTACAGCTTGCACAGCTGGTGTGGGATCTTAGTCTTTGTTCTTTACTTTGTGCAGGTGAGTCACGTGCCAGCAAGGGCTGGGAGAGGCAAAACGAGGGGAAATGGGGTTCGGGTATGCTATAAAGGGGCCCATTTTCCAGGATGCATGTCCAGAAGGGAAAAGAGCAGATTAATTTAGTTGGGTTGTTTTCAGAGGGTGACCTGAATATAATCTAGATTCTAGAGGCCAGGGTGCCCAAGACTCCTTTACTCTGCCCACCGACTCTACACCAGTGAGTTACATGTTTCAGCTCACTGAAGCCACAGGGTGAGGAACTGTGGTCAGAGGGCTAAGGAAGGCCGCAAGGCAAAGGCTTCAAGTAGTGGGACCAGTCCACCTTCCCCATAAGCATTTGATGCTTCACTTCTGCACTTGAGAGGACACACAAGTGCTTTGGTGGCCTCTCATTAGGTCACAGCTAGCTCATGGCTCAGTAGAGCCTTCTCTCCTTTTAGTGGCTCGTGGGTTTCAGCTTCTTCCTGTTCCCTGGAGCCTCATTCTCTCTGCGGAGCCGCTACCGTCCTCAGCACATTTTCTTCGGCGCCACCATCTTCCTCCTCTCTGTGGGCACAGCCCTACTGGGCCTGAAGGAGGCCCTGCTGTTTAAACTTGGGTAAGTGTCCTGGAGAGGCAGGGCCCAAGGGCCCTCTGCTTTATTGGAAGCCTCTTTCTGAGCTGGCTTCTCACTGGGAGGATGGAAGGTTGGGCATCGCGAAATCTGACACATCTTTAAGGCTTGGACTGTTTGTCTTAACCGGGACTCTTGGTGGCTTTTCCCTTCACCCTACCCTACAGGACCAAGTACAGCACGTTTGAACCTGAGGGGGTCCTGGCCAACGTGCTAGGCTTGCTACTGGTCTGTTTTGGAGTGGTTGTACTGTACATCTTGGCTCAAGCTGACTGGAAGCGGCCATCCCATGCTGAAGAACAAGCCCTCTCCATGGACTTCAAGACACTGACAGAGGGAGACAGCCCCAGTCCCCAGTGATTGCCTTCCTCATCCTGTACAGGGGGCTGCACCAGGTGGTTCCCTTGGCTCTGTGGGTTTCCAGATGTCTTTTGCTCTTCCCTGCAGACACTAAGTCTTTAGGCCCAGGGGTGTGGGGCAGTGTTAGTTTAGTGGGGTTCCAGGCTTGGGCATTGTCCTGGCCTCCCTTCCTCCCTCCTTCTCTGTAGCTTTTGATGCATCCTGTGAACCACGAGTAGGCTCTGCCTGTACCCCCCTGTTGTCCACTCACATCCGGAAAGCTTGGTTAGGGGATCTGGGGTCAAGCCTGGCTCTGAGCCTTATTGGAGCTAGATAGTAGCTCCACCTCCATGCAGCAGATGGCTGGGGCTGGGCTTGAGGGACTGGCATGGAGAAGTCAAGACTGCTGCTTTGTGTATTCAACCCAGGAGTTTCAGAAGTTTGGGAAGCACGTGTCCTTGGCAGTAGAGCAAGTGATATTATGTGTAAAGTATGCTGGTGTTCAGAGTAAGGCTCCCCAGAAAGATTGACTCTGGCTCCCGAAGGAGCCCGGGCGTTTGGATTGGCCACAATCTTGGACCTTTCTGTTCTTTTTTAATCCCTGATCCTTAAATAGGCTTTTTGTGGGGAAGGGGATTGGTGATGAAAATGCAGGTAAATACTTGCCCTGGTGGAGGAGGGCAGCCTGCTAGCAGTGAGGGGCCTCCTGGCCTCCAGCCCTGGCAGAATTCCTGCATTCAGCAGGGCTAAGCCCTAGTTTCCTTCTGCAGGCCAGCCTGGGCAGGCTCTGGGAGCAGGAGGCCACACACCTCCTGAGGTTTTGGAGGAGGGCTGCTGTTTGTCTTGTTCTCCAGGGGCTGCTGGGGTACCTTGGCTTGGTTGAAGCAGCGCTGGGGGATCATGGTCCTTCCACCCCTGGGCCCATCATCGCTGGACAGTAGGATTGAAGTGGAAGAGAGGAACAGGATTGGTCTCCTGTGGTGCCTGCACTTAGCTTTCACCCCCCTACTGCCTGTTGTGTTGTTAGCTGAGTCACTGTTTGGCTTGAGTCTAGAAATACTGGGATTAGAGCACTAATCTTGTGTTCTCTGGTTTGGCACATGCTCTCTCCTTTTCCTTCTCTCTTGGATTTTGAGCCTCACAGTTTGTGACACACATGGTTAACTCAGTAAGGAAATGAATGGTTTCTGAACCTGGCAGTTCTTTTCGGTCAATAGGCTGGCCTTCTCTGTCAGATTTCTAATGACTGTGCTGTGGGTCCTGCTTCTGATGATGTCTCTTCTCCTGGCTGTGGTGTAGCCCCTCTCCCTAATGTTACCTAGCACCCTGGCCTTTTATCCCATCTCTCCATTTGCTGGGATGGTGAGGTTTGCCTCCAGTTTCAATTGTATGTGCTGTAAGGATAGGGGATCTTAGAAATTCTGTCATCAGTTGGCACACTTGTATAGTCAAATGTTTACATTTGGGAGACTCATCCTTAGACAAACTAACGAGTACCATTGTGAGTCTCCCTTGCTAGACTACACAGAGAATTAGAATTTAGGTCTGCCTGCAGTGAGAGTCTGTAAACTAGTCTTTTTGCCAAAGTGTATGATACATGACCAAAGAAGGCCCCTAAGCAGATGTCTGTGTTTTCTTCTGTTTCTTCTGTCTTCTGTGACGTACAGTTGTTATTGGTGCAACAGATGAATCAATAAACGTCTATAGCTGACCGCTTGCCTTCTGTTTTCATTGGCTGAGACAAGAAAAGGGTCCACAGATTTAAGCTGTCATACATGAAGTTCTACTAGAGATGGGAGAAACTGTCCTCAGGTTGGGTACAGCAGATAGAGTGACTGGCAGCTTCTCAGGCTGACATGCCTCTGTGGTGGCCAGGTTTGGTCTAGTGGAGGGCATCCTTTCTTGCCTTTTACCATCTGAGCCTGGGTAGCTGGATGTGCCCAGTATAGAGTCTATTTGACCCTTTCAACGTGGGTTTCTGATACTTAAGAAGAAGAGTGAAACTTTTAAGAATGAGCTGAGATTTGCGTTAGGTTAATTTATATGACTCAGGCAGGAGCTGTGCTTATGGAGAATTTAGATGGATCTCACTGTGCCTACCTATGCATGGTGAGCCTTCTCATTTAAAGCAAGGCATGGTAGTACATGCCTATAATCACAGCACATAGCAGCACATAGAGGATCTTGAGTCCAGCCTGGACTACAAAGGCAGACTCCATCTTAAAATAACAGGACTCAAGTTGGTAGAGCACTTGCCTAGTATGGGCAAGGCCCTGGGTTCTGTTCCAGTATCACCACTACCACCTTCACCACCACAACAAAACAAGCAAAAATACCCTCAATGACAGAAACAAAACTAAAAATACCCCACTGGAGATCTAACTTTCTCTGTCTCTGTCTCTCTTTTCCTCCCAAAACATGGTTTCTTTGTGTATCCCTGGCTGTCCTAGAACTCACTCTATAGACCAGGCTGTCCTTGAACTCAAAGCTCTGACTGCCTCTGCCTCCTAAGCACTGGGTTTAAAGGCACTATGTCTGGTCCCAGAGCTCACTATTTAAAGGGAGCTTACAGCAAATCCGCTCCTAAGGGGGTTCCCAGGCATTTGTTAAGTTTTATCCTCATGCTGTTTTCTAGCATGTAGGAGCCAGAATCAAGTTGGTTTTCCCCTGTAAATCAGTGATTCTCAACCTTTCTAATACTGTGACCCTTTAATAAAGTTCCTCATGTTGTGGTGACCCCCAACCATAAAACTATTTTTGTTGCTACTTCATAACTGTAATTTTGCTACTGCTATGAATCATAATGTAAATATCTATGTCTCCTAATGGTGTTAGGTGACCCCTGTGAATGGGTCGTTCAACTCCCAAGAGGTTGCGACTCACAAGTTGAGAACCATTGCTCTAAACCAAGGCTTCCTTGTGGACCTTCATTTATTTAAAGCAAGCACAGGGTTTAGCACATGTTACCAGTAATCAATGTCAGTTGCAGGCTGCCCAGTGTTTGTGAGTGCTAGGTCCCATCTTATTTCTGGTTTTGGAGTTATTCCTAAATCCTGTGTTCTCATTATGAATTTCCAAATGATTTAAGACACTGTAGGCCAAGGTTGCACTACCTCAGTCTTCTGGGATGATTTAAATGAGATGAGAGCTCACTCTAGCTGCCTTTGGAATCTTGAGAGGTCCCAAAGCTAGTCCTCCTGAACGTGAACCACATGTAGCAAGGTCTGCATTTTGACCTGGTGCCTTTGTTTCTTTCAGTGTCCGTTCAGCTTGTTTTTTTTCTTGATTGCCCTTTTGAGAAAAGCAGCAGCAGGGCAGATCAGTTCTGAGCTCTGCCATTGTCTCTGTGACCTCAAGAAAATTCAGCTCTCAGAATCTGCTTTGGTACATGCACTTTGGAGAAAGCAAGGTCATCTGTTAGAAATTTCCCTGATTCTGGCTTTTTAAAACACTCATTGTAAACCCTTGCCAACTACAACAGTGGCCAGTCTGGAAAGATGTTCATTGGAATAATAGTGGCATGGATGTTCTGGGGCAACCAACTGCTTTCTGACTGGATTTAAGGCTTGCTCCACAGACAGTCATGGCTGGTATGATTGGTCTAAGAACTTGTGGCTGGTCATTGGCCCTAAAGAATACACTTCTGTGTGTTTGTTTGTTTGTTTTTTGTTAAATGGACATAGTATCAAATTGTTTTGTAAATACTTAGGCAGCTCTCAGATCTCACCAGATAAACTGCATTTGCAGTGGCTGACAGTTATATAAAGCATGATCAAAATGCAGAGAGTACTATCCCTCCATCTCCTCAAGGCTCAGGGATCATTATGAAGAGTGTGCATGTGTGTGTGTGTGTGTGTGTGTGCACGTAAATCACAGCAACTATGGTTGCAAGCATGTGCAACCTGCACAAGCTCAATTGAGCCAAAAATCCAAGCATGGAGTGAGGAAGGGGCTGATGAGATCCAATGCCCTAGCAGAGGCACTATTAGCAACTGATGGCTTCTGTGGGAAGGCCAGTCAGTTTTCTTCAGGGATGTGGCCCTTGCTAGGTTGCTCTTTCTCCTATAGATGGCTTTACATCCAGCATATATTTGCAACACTAACTGGACTCAATGGGTTTAAAAAACATTAAGCTGGGAAGGAGATCCTGGGCGGAGTCAAGGAGGACTGGAGGGGTCTTTCTCATATACATGTATGGTATTCCCAGTAAGTTAAAAACCATGTTTAAAGAGCCACCTATGAAGCAGTAGCTCAGCAGTTGTCTTCAAGGCTTTAAGTTAACTGTTGGGTAGGTACTCCCGGGGCAGATTTGTGAGGGCTGGGAAAGGCAGGAAGAAGCAAGTTTGGAGGCTATAGAAGTAACCTTTTTTTTACTTGGCCCATGTTTGATGAAGCAGCTTGTGACATGTTTCAAGCCATGCCCTTTAAATACTTTTAAGCAAATAATGGTTCACACAGGGAGGCCTCGCTTCAGAAGACCACTGATGCTCTTGGCTGCTGTGTGTCAAGTCCCTAGCTCAGTCTCTAGGTATAATCCAGCCCAGGTACTCTGAGCCTTCTTTTGGTCCTTTTACATGAGCCTACCAGGCCTGGTTTTGTGTTACTCATGGGAACACAGGGACTCAGTCATGAGGGACTCCATGTTCCCCCAACCTGCCTTTTAAGCTATTCGGCTCCACTTGCTGTCACTGGCTTCTGCCTGATTTTCCCTAGCTCAGTGGAGGAGTATGGGTCTTTCACAAACCAGCACCCTGGAGCATCTACTCAAATGGTCACCAAAAGGCAGCCAGTAAAGGAAGAATTTATGAGGAACTTCCGGGTCTCCATGAAGACATCTGCTATTCACTGATTCACTGAATGGCTTTCTACCTGGAAATATTCTTTTAAAGATTATTTTTTTCTAAACTCTACCTTGTTCTATTCTTTTGATGCCAAAAAGCTGGAGTTTGTGAACTATTTCTTCTCTTTTTCTTAGTTGTTAATGAAGCAAACAGTTATCAGACCTAGCATGTGTGTTCTCCTAGAATGTTTTCTAACCTTTGAAGGTGATTTTGGTATGCAGGCAAGCCAGCTGTGCATGTCCTGGAGTTTTCCTGCTTTCTCAGATTTTAGTTGTTTGGGAATTGGGTCTAGATGCCCAGTAGGATCAATGGTGCCATTGTTAGTCTTGGTAGACGGTCAGTCTGGAATCCCTAGAGGAAAGAAGTTATACCTCCCAAAAAGCACATTGCATGGCCCTCGAAGTAAAGTAACAGCAAGCTGATTCTTGAGAACTGGGCAGTCTGAGGGCTGACAGGCTGGTTGTGTGGGGCTACTGATATAATCTGGTTTCAGTGAGGCAGGCAAGGCTCACCCCACTTAAAGGGACTGAGAGTTTTAGGAAACAGTAAGCTTTCTGGTCACATTGTAGCTCTTGAGCTCTATGCCTAGAACTGGAGACATCCAGATGGATTCCTGAAGAAAAATAAAGTACTGGGAGCTGAGGGTCTTCAGTTTGACTGACAAGCTAGTCTCTGGATCTACAGCACAGGCTGCATCCCATCCTTGGACTTAGCATCTCTA